ACAAATTACTAAAGTAAAAAAGATCTGTCCTTGTACTAATATTGAAATAACATACCTTTCGCAACAAAAGCAAACAACCTACGGTGCTACCGCAAGGAAGCGTACTCGGTCCATTACTATTCCTAATATATATCAATGATTTGCCCCAGGTGACTCAGCACCCTATGACCTTATTTGCTGATGACAGCACAGTTTTATTCACGGGACGAGACAAGGTCTCAATTGAATCGGACATAACTCAGAATTTATACAGGATAATAGACTGGCTGAATGACAATAATCTTAAAATTAATTTAGATAAAACGCATATTATGTCATTCAAACAAAGAAAAAAACAGCCACAACTTAATATTAACTATAAAACTAAAATCATAAACGAAAAAGTACACACAAAATTTCTGGGAATTTGGCTGGACGAAAAAATTACATGGAGTAAACATATTGAACACATAATAAAAAAAGATAAATCAATTCCACTATGCACTACATAACCTTATAAGAATTACAAATCGTGAAACAGCCATAACCGCCTACCATGCATACGTCTCTTCAACATTGAGATATGGTATAATATTTTGGGGAAATTCTCCAAAACGCGAACTAGTATTTAAAGCGCAAAAGAAATGTTTACGAGCAGTATGTCAGTTGCAGGTTACCGATAGTTGCAAACCGCATTTCATTGATCTTAACATTCTGACCCTACCGTATTTATATATATTCAAAGTAGCTATGTTTGTAAGGAAACATTTTAGCATATTTGAAAACGCTAATAATAAACGACACAGGAACAAACTACGTACAAAACCTCATAAAAATCCCTGCATTCAAAAAGTTTCCTGGGTATGGCTCTTAAAATTTTTAATAAACTCCCAAAAAACATCAAAGATACTGATAATATAGACAAATTTAAGAAATTGCTTTCGAGTTTTTTTAATATATAAAGCATACTACTCTATCAACGAATACTTTGGAAATAAAATGAATGGTTTTAGTACCTACAATAATTAATGGGCGATTTATTTATTATATGTTTATATTGGTTATGTTGGTGGATGCCGCCACCGAAGTATGTGGTGTAAGTAAGAGAACAAATGAAAGGAAAAGTAATACATTGTGGTGGGATGATGAAGTACGGGTGGAAGTTGAATCAAAGAAGAAAGCATGGTTAGATTTACTAGCAACCAAAGCTGGTAACTCTTCTGGTATGAATGATGAGATTGAAAGAAAAAAGGCAGAATTTAGACGTCTAAATAAGAGAGTAAAAGAAGTTGTTGAAAGGAAAAAGAAAGAAAGAACGGATAAGAATGATAGAAGGATATCTGATAATTTCCAGGCTAACATAAAAATGTTCTGGAAACTCGTAGGAACTGCCAGGGAAAATACAAAATAGCCTATAATGAATGCTATAAGAGACGAGAATGGATGTATTCTGAATGATGAAGTTTCGAATTTAAACAGATGGAAGGAATACTTTGAAAGCATGTTTATGAGTGAAGAGTCGTCTGAATTAAATGAACTAGAAATTACGAAAGAAGTGGAAAGGGGTATGGAGATAAGTGTAGATGAAATAATGAAAGCAATGAAAAGCATGAAAGCAGGTAAGGCAGCTAGATATGATAGAGTATCACTCGAGATGCTAAGGGCTGGAGAGGGAGTGGTGGCGGGCCTGCTGTACACCTTGTTTAATTTATGTTGGGAATTAAAACGGGTACCGGATGACTGGTGTAAAGCAGTTATAGTACCAATATATAAAGGAAAAGGGTCACAGCAGGACTGCAAAAACTACCGTGCTATCAGCTTGCTTAGTATTGTGGGTAAACTGTATGCTAAGGTGTTAATTGAAAGAGTTATGAAAGAAACTGATGGAAAAATTTGGGATGTGCAAGCGGGATTTAGAAAGGGAATGGGGTGTACAGATCAAGTCTTTTCCATGCGCATGATTGCGGAGAAGTTTTTGGCCAAAAACATAAAGTTTTTTGTGCGTTCATGGACTTGGAAAAGGCTTATGACAGAATGGACAGGAATGTGTTATGGCAAACACTGAACTCATATGGGTTGAGCGCTGGTTTGACACAGGCATTAAGGTCTCTTTATAGGGACTCTAGTGCTTGTGACAGGATCAATGGGGTCTACTCGGACTGGTTTAGCATCCAAAAAGGTGTCATACAGGGCTGTGTAGCTTCCCCTTGGCTGTTCAACCTATTTATGGACAGGTGTTTGCAAACTTTGAAAGATGAAGAATGTGGGTTAAGAATGGGCGAGTTAACCGTCAAATGCCCTTTGTATGCCGATGATCAAGTCATATTTGCGTCATCGGCGGCTGAGTTGCAAATGATGGTTACATTAATGAACTGGGAATTAAAAGAAAGGGGAATGAAAGTGAACGCAAGTAAGACGAAAGTGATGGTTTTTGAAAGAGAAGAAAGCAAAACGGTATGTGAAATAAGAATAGAAGGAGAGTTAATTGAGCAAGTGGATGAGTTAATGTGTATTTAGCAGGGATGATAGAATATGATAGGGATATAGAACGACGAGTAAATGCAGGGAATAGAGTTAATGGGGTACTACACCTATTATGAAGAACCAGAATGTGTCAAAAAGGGCACGTATGGTAATTCATAATGCTGTGTTAGTCCCTACTTTAGTCTATGGTAGTGAAAGCTGGGTGTGGCAGAAGAAGCACGAAAGTAGAATAAATGCTGTAGAAAAGCGGTCTTTAAGGAGTATGCTAGGGTTGAATCTGAATGACAGGGTGAGAAATTGCGTGATAAGAGATAAATGTGGTATGCAAGATGATGTTGTGACCAGGATTAAGAAAGGAATGCTTCGATGGTTTGGTCATGTAGAAAGAATGAATGAGGAAAGAGTGACAAAGCAAATTTATATGGCAGATGTGAACGGCCGAGTCGGGAAGGGACGCCCTAGAAAAAAGTTTATCGACCAAATTGGCGATATTTTGAAAAAGGGGCCACGTTAGAAGTACCCTTAACCGACGAGCATGTATGCGTAGATATATGGATGTAAAGGAGGCGAAAGAGGTATGTCAGGATCGTGCCAAATGGAAGTCCATAGTCTCTGCCTACCCCTCTGGGTGACAGGCGTGAGTGTTTATGTATGTATGTATGTTTATATTGATGTAATTGATAATTAAGATAATAATTAAAGTTATTTCTAAACATACTAATTATAATTGAAATTGTTATTATATATACGATGGGTTCACATATTGCAATAAATGAAACCATATACTTGTTATCGCCTTTGACAAATGAAATGGTCCAGTATTAGGTCAAAAAGTAGAGTTAATTTTAACAAATTTGAACACTCTATAGAATGTCACTAAGTCAATGATTCAATGAACTTGAATCCTTGAACATTAAAAACGACGTTGCCAGTGCAAACTATTGGTATTGCGACATATCGTTGTCTAAAAGAGTTTCATTTTACTGAATTTATTTTAATATTTATTTTGTTTGATTTTTATATTTTAATTTAATATTTAACTAACTTACGGACTAGTATACTTTTCATTTATTGCATATATATGTGACCCCATTCTGTATATATATATATATCCTGGATTGGGCATATACAACATGTAACAAAAACCCTGTGGTTCCCGTTGACTGCGTTATCAGAATCAGTATTCAAGCATATAGAAACAATTTTTTTCAAAAAAAAAGCACATTTAAAAAAAATTTAATTTAATGAAAAAAAAATTAATTTGAAAATTGTATGTGGTCTTATTATCTCTGCATTGGCCGAGGAGTAAGAGGATTGTCAAAGACCCCGCAGTACCGATATTCGCGTAAGTTAGAGGAAATAAAACCACATACAATTTGCAAATTAATTCTTTTTCACCAATTTTTTTTTAAATGTGTTTTTTTTTTGAAAAAAAAAAATTTCTATATGCTTGAATACTGATTCTGATAACACACTTAACGGGAACCACAGGGTTTTTGTTACATATTGTATATATAATATAGTACTTTTTAGATCTTTTGAGTTTTATCAATAATTGCTACTATGACATGGTAACTTCTTCCCAAAATTTTGTCAGCTTGAAATTTAGTCGCGTAGAGCGTATACACTGACAGCTTCGTGGCGTAGTGGCTTAGCATTGAGTGACGGCGCTGAGAGCCGCGGATATGAGTCCTGCTCACAATAAGTATTTGTATAGTCTACAAATAATTATTCCGGGTCTGGATGTGTGATGTTCTTGTGCAATTTATTTAAGTAAAGTGCTTCAGGTCAAATCAACAAAACCGGTCAAAATCCTAATGTGGATATAACACTTAAACAACGAAAAAAAATTAATAAAATTCCCGTCCGTTTAGCACACATCTTGTGCGGGACGCATCCTCTAGCGCTCTAGAAAAAGGACGACCCGGTTCTTGCAGGACATGCACAAAATCTTGTGCGCATTTTATTTCTTCACACTCAGTGTCCGATGAGACGGAATTCCGACACGACCGAAAAGATACGGCGCAGGCGCGTGGTTTCCAAGGCACGGGGAGAAACACCACCAATCTTGTCCATCACCGGAGTCAACTCCGGGCTACTTCCGAGAATTCTGAAAAAAACCTAACAACTGATATTGGCCCGATCCAGGATGTAAACCCGGAATCGCATGACCAGCAAGCGCTTACGACGACTGCATCAAATAGACAGTCAAATCCATTTGTAGTATATATTATTTCATTCCGAATTCACTTCGGACTTTTAAGAGTGAAAATATAAAATTTATCTCTAAAATTTATACTCGGCCGTAGCGCCACCGTCTGTGATTTTCTTTGTTGTCATTATACCAACATATTATATTGTTAACGTCATCATTTTTGTCTATAAATACCTATAGAGTTTGATAATAACTTAAATCTACGTTTACGAATTTAATTTGTCCATTAGAATCGTTCAATCAAAAGTTCACATACTCGTATAAATAAGCTTTATTATATTAATAAATAAATACGTGTCCTATTTACAATTGATTATTTATTTCAATGGTGGTAGATGGGGGCGGAGTATGCCACAGGTGCGGCGTGAACGACGGGAGCTGCATGGTAGGCGACAGGGGCGGCGTGGTAGGCGACCGGAGCGGCAACCTTGGCAACAGCTGCGACCTTCACAGCAGCAGGCTCCTTGTGAACAACAGCGTTGAAGCCGTTGTGCGGGTCAGCGGTGTAATCGACAGTACGCTTGGTGCCGTCGGGCTCGACGACCGAGTAAGAGCCCTGAACGACGTCACCATCACGGCTTTCGTGTTGTGACTTGGAGTCTCCGGTCAGACCATCCTGAACGTCGTATGAAAAGCTGTACTGAGGGTGTGCGTCGTATTCCTCAACGGCGACCTTGGCGACTGGTGAGGCATAAGCGAGCTTTGTGACGGGAGCGGCGGCATAGGCCACGGGGGCGCCGTGGTATGTGGGCGCGGCGTACGTGAGGGGAGCTACCGGGATTAAACCAGCGCTGGCGGCTGCCACCAAGCAAGTTAGAACAACGAACTGTAAAAAAAATAAGAAATGTGTTTTTTTTTAATTTTCTTTTAATATAATATGTATTATTCAGGTATGTAACATGTTGATTGCCTCATTGATCTAATGGTTGTAAACAATAATAATCATGAAGTCGAGTTCGTATCCCAGGTCAACCTAAAAAATCAGTTATTGTTTTTGTTTATAAAATTTATAGTAGCAGACCGGAATCAGGGAGTTGTGGCGGTGTCTCACTTTCATGCCTCGGATAGCACGTAAAGCGTTGGTCCTGAAGCTTATCCCTCTTCGGTCGTGTAAGATTGCCGGACGCTATAATGCTGTCCTGCGCACACGGTTAGTCTCCATTGAGACTGGCTTCAGTGAATGAATTTTTGTCTGGTGAATATTAATGTTATTGTCCAGGTACACTTGGTATTATATTATTTAAAAAAAATATTACTAACTCTGAATGCCATTGTGCTTGTATCGAAATCCCAAGAGATAATAATGTTAATTCAATTATTACCGCGATTAAATACTGTGCCCAAAAACCCTGAGGCGATACAAAGCGATCGTTGACATGCACGGACCGGTAGCTCAAATATAACAAGCCAATATAGCGCAAGGATTACCACACGTTAATGTCAATGTCTTGCAAAGTCGTAGTCCTTTTTAAGAATAGCTAAACGTCACAAGTCTGGGATATAATTGTATTTTAAGGTGAAATTACGTGTATTATTTGTATTGTAAACATAAATCCTTTACTACTTACGATTGTACTCTTTAGTTATGATGAGTATAACTCATCAGTGTAATCACTACCGTGTGATAGCGATGATGACAGAGTGGTGGCGATGAAAAATTATTTATCACTCCATTTCGTCCTGTGGGCATTGTAAGTCGATTATGGGAAATACCATATCTTTTACGCCAGGCGTAAAATATCCACAGCGGGGATAGGGATGCTGCGATCATCATTTCGCCTACCAAGCGTGGCAATTGAAGAAATCTATGAAGGCAGAACCTTCTACGAGTTTATTTTTTTTATTCAAATGAAGAAGTGTAATTGTGGTTGTTCACTAGGTTTATTTCGACCACGGCAATTCTATCCAGATGCCCTCGAAATGTATCAAGCCAGCAAGTCATTTTTACACTGTGTGTGGTTTTCAGAATCGCAAATACATATAAGTCGTCATTCATGAAGAAAATTCTCGTTACCAATAAAAAGTATCCGGTGCTCGTCGTCATCGTCATTAACTATTATACTATACAGTATAATAAGCTGACTACTATACTATAGGGGACATGCAGCTGTATTAAATAGCTATTTTATTCTTACTGCAGCTATAATGCAACTGTAACACAATGCTACGTTATGTGGTCTGCTCGAACTTGGACCATGCTCTCAGAATACCACAGTTAAATAGAAGCATATTGCTGCCGAGTTTCTCTTAATAAGAGAATCGGAAACCCTTTGAATTAGGCATTTCATATTAGTTTTCAAGGGTGAAAACAAATCTGCTGTTTGAATCTTAATCAAGAATATATGTAGGTGTCAATGGATCACAGCATTTATTTATCACCAAGCAAACTATGTCTAACACTTACTTCTATAAAATATATAGCCATCAAAAATGTAAATTATAAAACAAACCAAATCTCGCTACTTAGTTCTTCTACCGTAAAATGTTACGAGATCCATGTAACACCAAGTTGGTTAATTTATTCAGTCTCTACTTAAGGTTCCTTTTGTTTTAAGTTATTACGTAATTTTAGCTAATCTAACATATTATAGTGTACATACGCTATGTACCGACATGTTTGTAATCACTAATACTGTAAGTAGAAAGGTCGTTAGACACTTATTTCATTAGGTTTATCATATTTATGCCTGTTTCTTAACGCCAAGCCAGTCGCTTCTTATTTTTATTACGGTTATTATCCATTTTAATTTTACATCGTCCTGTTGCGTAATGTGTATTCTGATCGTAAGCGACACAACCTCCCCCTTCAAAGGCCGAAGCGAAGTGACCGGGCGGCAGGAATCACGCTTCAAGAGGCCGATAGTTTAGGTAATTTCTTTTTACAGTGAAAATAATGGTATTTTAAAAAAAAGTAAATAACATAAGCACTGCTTTATAGTTAGTTCAGTTAGTACGCAAAGTTTCGTGTTCTTATTTAAAGTATTTTATGAATAACAGCGGTTTGTTGTTTATTTTGGAGGTAACTTTGGATTTTTTTTCAATCGAGAAAATTTTATGAAATCGTGTTTTCTAATGGTGGTAATAGCGCATAGCGCCATATTATAGCGCGCTATCTCTTCATAACGCATAGCGCGTGCTATGTAAGTAGTCACCATGGCGCTATGACGCTATGACGCTTTGGCGCTATTCATATCAAGCGGCAATTAGTTCTAGCAGCAGCGCTGTTGGGAGTAGACGTGTGACGCAAATTTAATCTAGCAGCACGCTATTCATCGCGCGCGAACTAATTTAGTGTTAGACGTTATTTAGTTAGTGTATACTGTATATTTATAAGTGATCGAAGAAAGAAAAAATAAAATATAGATACAAAAGTGTATATAATAGTGTTTGTAAATAGTTGATTTTTGTATATACAATCAATAAACTTTTAAATACACCTTTGATTTATAATTTATATTAAGGTTAAAATAATGTTTACATCAATTATAATAAAAATGATTAATTTTATTTTGTTTTAAAAAGTACAGTCCTTAAAAATATTTTTAGGATTATAAAAACTCGTAAGCCTGTAAAGTATGAAAGAGCGTTTTTTAATTTTTCTTTACCACTTTATTTTAATTTAATCTAAAATGCGACTTATTACCAAACAATGTTCTCATATAGCACGCGGTCTATCCAATGAACGACATGTAATGTAGCGTGCTCCGAGATATAGCGTGCTGCTAAACTTAACGCGCTTGCCGGCCTCCTACACACTTTTTATAAATAGCGCGCTATAACATAGCGTATTTTATAGCGCGCTAGAAATTTCTAGTTTATAGTCTGTAGCGTGCTATTGATTTATAGTCGTTTTGAACAACTTTAGTGTTTTCGTCTAACATAATCCTTAACATTAATCCTCAACTTTACCATATATTTATTTCAAAATTAATGCTGCAATATTTTCGGCATAACGAAGGATCTTGCTAAGCTATTTGAGATTGTATTTCCCCTTAAGAAACTTTGACTAGTTATAATTCTTAAACTACTAGTTCAAATTGAATGAAGTTTCAAATACATTGTGTTTATATAATTCAGGTTTCTAGTTTTATCCACAACGAAGTTAGAACACATTGTTAGTGTCTTACAGAAGATCAGCTTGTAGGCCGAAGCTAAAACCGCAGCCGATTCTGAAGGCTTAGAAATTTCTACTAGCACAACGAGTATAGTTTAAGTACTTTATGTATAAAGTAGAAAACTCCTAGTAAAATGCACGGTGAATGACTGTCAAGCATCCATATGATGTGGATCGTATCGAGTTTTCACGCGATGTGCGTTCGTGAAATTTGGTGGATGGAATTAATCCGAACAATTCCTCAGAGCAATCCCAACATCCTGCAACATCCATTCGCAGCGCCAGTGAATCGAGCCAATCAGAAAGAACTCGGTCATCGACGATTCGAACAGCTCTGCGCTAAATGCGGTCAAGTGGAAGGAGCTGGTACTGGGGTGCCTAGTCCAGAGATGAGAACATGATACTTTATAGGGTGCAAGTTTGGCCTCACATGGAGTGTGGTCGAACTTACGCTTTGTAAAACTGCAAGCGAAATGCCTGAATGAAATACTGTCACGCTCTGCTGAGTACGCCAAGCTTTTTAGAGGATAATTTTGCCTTCCCTTTCAAGTGACGACGAAACTACACATTATTCGATACGTCGACGTCGAAAATCCCGACGCTAGCGTGGGCAACAAGGGAAGGGGAGTGCCATGAAACTGAGGAGATACGACACAGGAGTTCTTTTTAGCGGTAAAAGCGCAAACGTGTGTCTTCTGGAGATTGAACTGAACTAGATTTAGTCGCCCCTAATCTGATACTTTGTACTTCAAAATCTCGGCTTTAGACATGGTACTTTACGAATTGAGAGTTTATAATATTTTCCATTATGAAATTGTGGTTTCCTAGTAGAGAAAGAATTTTGCATAATTAACATAATAGTATTGATTGGGCAGTATCAAATTAGGTAATATCAATATTATATAGGCCTATTGTTCTTATAAATAGGTCCGAATGATAATAATTTATGGTTACAATAATACTTACAAAATGGTGTCTATCTATAGCTGCAGCCCGGTGAGCTTTTAATAAGGCTAATAATGCTGCCCGCAGTATAAATACTCATTTGTGAACAATTGTTAAGCCAAAGGCCAGAGAGAAGACTTTCGATGAACCACTGCAGTGCCATTGTATATAAAGTAGTTCCATATGAGTTCACCGGTATACTAGTAGACTTGACGTAGACTGAAATAGTGCCATTACTTGAAAGCTACGCTTAAAATTATATAATCAATAAATACGTTGCTTTGTCCCCACAATGTGGCCGCATTACAATAACTCACGCGTATTTGTTTAAAGAGCTGTTAGCTGTATAACAGAACCCAGCCGATCTTGAAAAATGCAAACTTTACTTTGATTCACGTTTATGCTGTTCAGCAATATCAGGCTTTTACTAACTACTTAAAAGTGCTATTACGCAACAAAGGGCACTTAAAAAGCTCAAAGCTGTTTAACGGATTTACGGTGCATACGCACATATATCATCATCATCATCATCATTACAGCCCTTCACAAGTCCACTGCTGCACATAGGCCTCCCCCAAGTAACGCCACAAAGCACGGTCCTGAGCCACCTGCATCCATCGACTTCCTGCATGTTTTACCAGGTCGTCACTCCATCTAGTGGGGGGTCGCCCTACACTACGCCTACCGGTACGAGGCTGCCACTCGAGAACCTTTCTTCCCCATCGGTTATCGGTTCTTCGAGCTATATGGCCCATTGCCACTTCAGCTTACTAATCCGTTGGGCTATGTCGGTCACTCTGGTTTTACTGCGGATATCCTCATTTCTGAGTCTATCACGCAGAGAAACTCCGAGCATAGCCCTCTCCATAGCTCGCTGAGCGACCTTGAGCGTCCTCATACGGCCAGCAGTGAAGGACCACGTCTCTGATCCGTAAGTCATCACTGGCTATATATATATATATATATATATATATATATATATAGTTAAAATGCTGCCTGTGTTATTTAAGATGTTTCATTGAATTCCGCTACCATGTTGATGGGGGATTGGGCCTCCGCCACATACACTCACCAGGCGAAACGCAGATGGAAAACTTCTACTTCACGCTGGTATTCTGTAAGGTCGTGGTATCTCTCCAGTTTGAGCCGGTCCCTGCAAAAACAAAAGCTGCCGCGTGGCTCTACCACTTGGTTGCCAAATTGTCATTCCAATTTTGTTTTTGTCCAAAAATTCTAATCAAAGAGGACAAATGTATATTTTTTATTTCAGAATGTGACATTGCACCGATAATATGGAATTCGATTCCATTAAAATGTAGAATGTGTATCACAGCGGACAGAGGAAGTTGGTAGGGTTTTCTGCCCACCACACTCTTATCCTCCTACAACATTAGAGCCTATAGTTCTGTTTTGTTTCGAAGGGTATGGAAGCCCTCAGCATATTTTTACGCTATAACACATTTTAGTCACATATTTTAATAACTAAAAATTTTCTCGTAGTTCTCAAAGTTAGTACAGTTCTCAAACGCATGCACTTATTTTTTTAAGTAAGTTCGGTGTTTATAAAAAGGCCTTCGATAAATGTTGCGCAGTTGATTTTTTCTGGTGGAAATGAGAATGTATCACTTAAAAAATAATAATTCTTTAATTTGTTTTTAATATACTATTTTAAATTGTATAAGAAAACATATAATTTATATAAGTAAACTGCCTGCACGATAAAAGTCAAAATCCTAATGTGGCGGTAAGTCCTAAACAAAAAAATATATAAAGTCCCGTCCGTTACGCGCAGATCTTTTGTGGGACGCATCCGCTAAGGCTCTACAAAAGGGACAGTTGGTAGACCTAGTTACGGAGGCAAGTCTCAACGGAAAATAGTCATTTGTATAGAACACACACATACGCACAAAATCTTGTGCGCACCTTATTCCCTCACACTCAATGTCCGATGAGACGGCAATACGACTCGACCGGAAAGATAAGGAGCAGGCGCGTGCTTTCAGAGGCACGGAGGAGAAACACTGCCAATCTTGTCCGTCACCGGAGTCAACTCCGGGCAACTTCTGGGAATTCTGAAAAAAATCTAACAATTTATATTGACCCGATCCAGATCAAGAACCCGGAACCGCATGATCAGCAAGCTACTACGACTACAAAGAGGCAGTCAAATTCATTTGTATTATATTGTGTTTCACTCCGATTTCTATCCAAGCTTTTAAGAGTGAAAATATAAAAAATTTCTCTAAAATATAAACTCGGCCGGCGCCAGCGTCTATGATTTTCTTTTTTGTCATTAAACCAACATATTATATTGTTAATATGAATCGTTTTTGTCTATAAATACTTATAGAGTTTGATAATAACTTAATTTACGTTTACGAATTTAATATGTTCATTAGAATCGTTCAATCAAAAGTTCACATGCTTGTATAAATAAACTTTATTATATTAATCAATAAATACGTGTCCTATTTACAGTTGATTATTTATTTCAATGGTGGTAGATGGGGGCGGAGTATGCCACAGGTGCGGCGTGAACGACGGGAGCTGCATGGTAGGCGACGGGGGTGGCGTGGTAGGCGACCGGAGCGGCAACCTTGGCAATAGTTGCGACCTTCACAGCAGCAGGCTCCTTGTGAACAACAGCGTTGAAGCCGTTATGCGGGTCAGCGGTGTAGTCGACAGTACGCTTGGTGCCATCAGGCTCGACAATCGAGTATGAGCCCTGAACGACGTCACCATCACGGCTTTCGTGTTGTGACTTGGAGTCTCCGGTTAGACCATCCTGAACGTCGTATGAAAAGCTGTACTGAGGGTGTGCGTCGTATTCCTCAACGGCGACCTTGGCGACTGGTGCGGCGTAAGCGAGCTTTGTGACGGGAGCGGCAGCATAGGCCACGGGGGCGCCGTGGTATGCGGGCGCGGCGTACGTGAGGGGAGCTGCCGGGATTAAACCAGCGCTGGCGGCTGCCACCAAGCAAGTTAGAACAACGAACTGTAAAAAATAAGTAATGTTTTTTAAATATATGTATTATCCAGGTATGCTACATATTGATTGTAAACAATAATATTCATGAGGTCAAGTTCTGATCCCAGGTCGGTCCAAAAAATCAGTTATTGATTATTTTGTCTATAAAATTTATAGTAGCAGACCGGAATTAGGGAGTTGCTGCGGTGTTTCATTTCCATGCCTCGGAAAGCTTGTAAAGCGTTGGTCCTGAGCCTTATCCCTCTTCGGTCGTGTAAGATTGCCGGACACTATAATGCTGTCCTGCGGAGATGGCCAGTCCCCATTGTGACTGGCCGTGACCGAATTCTCTAGGTCTGGTGATTATTATTATTATTATTATCGAGGTATACTTAAAGTTATATTACTTAAAAAATATTACTAACTCTGAATGCCATTGTGCTTGTATCGAAATCCCACGAGATAATAATGTTAAGTCAATTATTACCGCGATTAAATACTGTGTCCGAAAACCCTGAGGCGATACAAAGCGATCGTTGACATGCCCGACCCGGTAGCCCAAATGTAACAAGCCAATATAGCGCAAGGACTACCACACGTTAATGTCAATGTTTTGCAAAGGCGTAGTCTTTTTTAAGAATAGCTAAACGTCACGAAGTCTGCGATATAATTGTATTTTGGCGAAATTATGTGCATTATTTGTATTGTGAACATAAAATGTTTACTACTTACGAATGTAATCTTTTAGTTTTTTTTTTAAATTGACCTCGAAAAAGAGAAGTTTCTTAATTGAACTTAAAATTTTTATGTATGTTGTTTATACTCATCAGGGTAATCACTGATCGTGTGATAGCGGTGATGATAGAGTGGTGGTGGTAAATACTATGGTAAATACCAGAAAGGTCTTGTTACTCCTGACAGATTACACCGTAACCATCTCATTTACTCCAGGCGTAAAATATCCACACCAGCGACAGGGAGCTGCATCTACGTCTATTACAGCGATCATCATTCTGCCTTGGTAGCCACAATTAAAAAAAAGGTGTCAATGGATCACAAAATGTATTTATACCCAGGCGGACTATGTGCTACACTTACTTCTATAAAATATTTATGTAATGCAAATTTTCCGAGGTTATGCTTTATTAAGAGTTAACGTTTACACTAGTCACATATTAGATCTGATGCAAGATTAAAGAAGAGTTATTTTTTTTAAATTATCCTTTTATGTAATGAACAGCTTTCGAATGATAATTGCTATCTAGTGGATTAGTTCAAAATCAAATTATTTTTATAGTTAATGTTATGATTTAATTAATTATAAAACCAATTAAAATGAGTTAAGTTAGAAAACATTGTTAGTGTCTAACAGAAGATTAGCCTGTTGGCCGAAGCTGAAACTGCAGCCGATGCTGAAGGTCTAGAAATTTTTTCTAGCACAATGAGTATAGTTTAAGTAAAAAATAAAAATATAAATTTCTTTGCAACTTTCCGCTAAACATATAAAATGATGTGTCTTACCTGGATTGAAGCGCACCTCCCGCCCTCCCTCAATTGCATACACTAACTCCGTCACCACTAGACCAAGCACCACTACTCTCAACACCACTATTCCAGGCAAGACACACCATCGACGATAATACGACACGTGTTTCGCCTCTACACGAGGCATCCTCAGGTAATATAGACTCTACGGCAGGAGGATGCCTCGTGTAGAGGCGAAACACGTGTCGTATTATCGTCGATGGTGTGTCTTGCCTGGAATAGTGGTGTTGAGAGTAGTGGTGCTTGGTCTAGTGGTGACGGAGTTAGTGTATGCAATTGAGGGAGGGCGGGAGGTGCGCTTCAATCCAGGTAAGACACATCATTTTATATGTTTAGCGGAAAGTTGCAAAGAAATTTATATTTTTATTTTTTATTATAATGGATTTCCGCAAAGTAACGCCTGATTCTATCAATTATAGTTTAAGTACTTTATTTATAAGAAAACTTATTTTATATAAAGAAATTATTTATTAATCGTAACATAACAATAAAACTTAGTAAAGTCCTTCAACAATGAAGCGTAGCAATTAATAAATCCGCAAAACGGCAGGGTCTAACCCAGGGACAGCTTGACCACCACAGTTCACCAATACACGTACGAAATGGGCTCGCCAAGCTTACTCAGAGCGGCCTCCTGGCAAGCTAATTTTTTCAGAATCGACGCTTTTATAAATACAGGGATGTCATACTAAAAACTTTTTTAGTCGCGGAAAGGTAAACTAGTAGACCTTTAAGAATAGTGCAACTTTCTGTCAATAAAATAATTTACACTAACTGAATAATTTAAGTTGAATAATTTTAGAATCGGTTACCTTCTACAAACAAAGTTACTTACAAAGAACTTTACTTTTAATAATATTAATAAGTAGTGTAATATAAAATACATTACACTAAATAATACCGTGTAATATTGTTTCCAGTGACGATTGCGATTTTTAAGGGCTTAACTTGATCGCAGAGTTGTTATTCCTGTGTCAGTATCAAAGATCATATTATTATAGTCACTAGTTTTAATCCAAATTCCAATCATAAGAGAGAAGAGATCAAATGTATATTTTTTCATTTCCGAATGTCACATTACACCGTTAATATGGAATTTGATTCCATTAAGGTTGTAGAATGTGTATCGCAGCGGACAGAAGAATTTGGTAGGGTTTTATGCCTAACACCCTCTTACCCTCCTACAACATAAGATCATATAGTTCTGTTTTGGTTCGAAGGGTATGAAAGGCCACAGCATATTTTTACGCTATAGCACATCTTAATCGCATATTTTATCGCTGTAACTTATTTTCTTTTAGTTCTCAAACGCACGCACTTTTAAGTAAGTTCAGTGTCCATAAAAAGACAAGTGAGACGTTTTGTTTTGTTTTGCCCGCATGCCCTCGATAAATATTGCACAGTTGACTTTTCTTGTGGAAATGGGAATTTTTCTTTTAAACAAATCCTTAATTTGTATTTAATATAATTTTGCTAAAAATTAATTTATAGTATTTGCTGTAAAAATAAGAAATTCGTATTAACATATTCAAATCATATCTTATATTGTGCTCTAAACGGTGCTGTACACTCAGAAGACCTTGCCGCGGGCTACGATTTTTAAAGTATAAAACTGCAACATCGCACACGGTACATTACATTGATACTTGCAATCAGTTCAAGCACACGCAAAAATGGCTTTCAGAGTGAGTGTCGAAGAGCAGCTGTGTTTTTATATTTTCTTAAAATAGTTCAGCTTTTATAGTTTACTTATTAAAGTAGTAATAAATTTCTTTGGGATTGTAATTAACTCAGTGTGATATTCGAAATTATTGAAAAGATTTAAAAAAGTTTATACGATTTCTTATAATTGGATTTATTATTAACGGTATCAACAAAAATTATTTATAATTTAGATTTTGTAGTAATTAAACTTTTTTTGACAGTTTGTCATCCTTACATGCTTGGTGGCGGCCGCCAGCGCCGGTATTATCCCGGCAGCTCCCCTCACGTACGCCGCGCCCGTATATCATGGCGCTCCCGTAGCCTATGCCGCTGCTCCCGTCGCTAAGCTGGCCTACTCCGCACCCGTCGCCAAGGTTGCCGTTGAGGAATACGACGCACACCCTCAGTACAGCTTCTCATACGATGTTCAAGACGGTCTAACCGGAGACTCTAAGTCACAACACGAAAGCCGTGACGGCGACGTCGTTCAGGGCTCTTACTCGGTCGTCGAGCCCGACGGCACCAAGCGTACTGTCGACTACACTGCTGACCCGCACAACGGCTTTAATGCTGTCGTTCACAAGGAGCCTGCAACTGTGAAGGTCGCAGCTGTTGCCAAGGTTGCCGCTCCGATCGCCTACCACGCCGCCCCTGTCGCCTACCACGCTGCCCCTGTCGTCCATGCCGCTTACTCTGCCCCCATCTATCACCACTAAGATTATTCTAGTCGAAATATAGATTGATATAATTAAATATTTATTGACATTAATGAGTGTTTTATTTATAACCAGCGACCCGCCTCGGCTGCGCCTATTAATGTGGCATCATCTAATTATTATTTTAATAATTATCAATGACCATTTATATTATTAATGTTTCCATTTCGCAAAATAGTCTTTAAGTTTTTCGGGTAAGATATAGCTGAAACCACTGCTGACATTGCTCTATCTGTTAGTGAAGTCATCATAGTCGGTTTATCTATTACAAAGATTAGCTCGGACGGACAAACGGACAAAAACTTAAACAGACTTTCGATTTTATTTATGTGTATTGATAAAACTCACAGATGACATTAGAAAGGGAATGGATTAGCAAAAGCTTACAGTGGTTGTGCTTGTTGCAGTCGACCACGATATCATTATACCCATATTTCCCACTGTCTTTGATATTTGTGGAATACTCGTACTATGAGGCGAAAGCCCTATTTGTTGCACCTGTAACTCCAAGGTTATACTAGCGGTACTTAGACGATACTTTCAAAATTTTACCATCAGACAAAGCAACTGTATTTAGAACATCTTAATTCAATAAACTCTAAAATTCAATTTACTATGGAGTTAGAGGCAAATAATTCCTTAGCTTTTTTAGATGTGTTAGTCATCCGAAATCCTAACAACACCATAAATCACATAGAAAAAAGACCCATACAAACCGATATTTAAACGGTCAATCTCACCATCATCCTTCACAGTTACCGTGAGCAAAACGTTATTACAGAGAGCACGAGGGTTCTGTGACAGCAAATACCTGGCAAACAAGCTTCAGCACGTCAAGCAGGTTCTGCACGACAACAAGCTTCGGGTCCCGCGCTCTTTTTTATTGTGGGGAAATTCTCATGGATACCTTCTGATGCGGGGCCAATAGAAAGATTATCCCGGACTTACCGGTCGAAACCCCACGGAGATCACCATCAGCGTATATATGAGGGGATCACGGGATTTCCGTTTGGGACGCAACCGGGGCCCCTCTCTCACTTTGCTTTATTAAAGCACGTCCCGGGAGCAGTCCTTACTGCCGCCAGCACTCACGCAGTGTAATTACGGTGCTCGAGACCACTTCTAAGTCACCATCTACCTCAGGTGTTACATTAGGGCCCCCGCCCCGAGTACCCGTAGTCCTCGAAGTTAGGTAGGGGTATACCATCATCAAGGGGAGGGCCGTGACAGGGAGGGTAGAGGTTAAGATTGAGTTATTAATGATTGTGTGTACGAATTCTAAAGAGTTAGGTAATGTCATGATTATCGTTTTTAATGATAAATTCTCAATTTCTATTTCATTTGAGTTCATTCTGAGAATTATGTTTTGTTTTGACTGACCGATGAGATAGTGAATGTTGCATCGCCGAACGTGTGAAATTCAAAGTAAGTTGGATATGACATTGAAGTTTGTGATTTTCCTGGAACGTCCTAAAAGTGATTGTTTATTTCATATGCATTATTTATTTATTTTTATTTATTTATTTAGATAGATACACCATCGACAATATCAAGAAACATTGTTACAATCAAAATACCACATTTTTAGTTAAAGGATATGTCTTTACAGCTGTATACATCATTAGGCGTAAATACGGACATACGCTTGGATTTTAAGTCAGAGCAACAAGATCTATCAATATTTGGAATGTGTTAGTGAAATGACTAGGAGAAATAACCAGCTGATTTAGTCCCAAACACGAATAAATCGTTAAACTGTTTAGTTTTGACCTCAGAGATACTTAGCAATAAGTCAGTAGAGGTAGTTTAAGTCATACCGTTTATTCGGGCAGTAGTAGGTACATCATCTTCGTGAAGAGCTGAACGCGGACGTCATTTTATTGGTATTCTTCTCAGAGATTTCACTTGATGTCCATATCATGGGAGTGCATATTATAAAAAAAACATAGCCCACCGTCTTTGGACTATGTTTTTTTACCATATTAGTTTTAGAGTGAAGTCATTTCATTTTCGTATTTATCTCAGAAAACCCTTTTATTTGATACCCATATCTTTGGAGTGCATAGAAAATAACTAGTCCGCCATCTCGGGCGGTCCGCCATATTGGATTTAGAATGACGTCACTTAGCTAACAGAGCATTTTCATCCAAATTAAACATGTATACAAAATTTCAACTCAATCGGTTTAAGATAACTGTTTTAAAATTCAATTGCAAGATTTGACCCTAACAAATATACATTGCAAGTTAAATAAAAGATTTTCCAAACAGTCTAATCAATCTGAAGTTAGTGAAAACCTTACTTATAGTGCTACAAACAAAGTTTTGGTGATGTACAGTTGTAACATTAAACTGCTTGTGACAAAATAATAAAAGGAAAAAAAAAGTTACAGCCTACATACATCCCTCTGTTGGGCACAGACCTCCTCTCATCTCCGAGAGGGTTTTAGGGCAATGAAGTGTCTGCCGCACTGCCCCAATGCGTGTGGGCAAATTTCACGTCCTCGAAATATTTTTTTGTTATTTCTCAGACATGCATTTTTCCTCACGATGTTTTACTTCACCGCCAAACACGTGTTAAATCAGAATAAAATTTCAATTAACTATTTCATTGTTGCTGGCGGAGATCGAACCCGGGTTGCTCGTGTACTGTGAAATTTACGGCGAGTGCTAACCATCTTAGCTGCCACGGCTTATACATATTTCTATCACACTTAGTAGCACCGCATTTTATAAATAGCCATTGGATGATGTAAATAATTAATAAGTAGTCGGTTTTTAGATTCTGTTTGTTAACTATTAAAACTACTTACCTTTTCCTATACTTAAATCATACAATTAATGGTATTAAGTGATATAATATACCCTTTTTGTAACGGCAAAGCCTTTCTGTCTATTAAATTCCTTCCACATGGCGTAAGGCTTTTGTTCTTCACTTACCAATAAGATCCAAATTCAGAATCAAATTGTTTATTGCATGTCACATTACATTAAGATGTGTACAATTTTAATAGGTATACATGTGACGCCCTGCAAGGGCATAGCACCACTAGAGGGCTAACTATTTTCGTATTATCTATTTTTTAAACATGAATTATAAAATATCATATAATCAACATTCAATAGTATTTTATATAAATTAATTTAATTTGAAATACAATGTACCTAGTCGAAGTATTCTTACTTTGTCGTTATTTATCATCAAAAAATTCATTTAAATTATAATAACATTTATTAATAAGAATTTTTTTAATTGTTTATTAAATTGCACAGGATTTTTATTGAATTCGGTAAATGGTTATAAATCTTTATTGATATAACGTGAGGGCTGTTAGAAACTAATTTTAATTTGGAGAAGGGTAACTTAAGCTTAAATAAATTTCTATTATTTCTTTCGGTTTTTTTTTAATAGGTTAGTAGAGTTTTGGCTGTTTCCTAACGAATTTACAAGACTCGAGGATATAGATAGACTTAAATGTTAAAGTTTTATTTTTAATGAAATGGGGTTTACATGATTCCATTTTATTTGCTATTACCAGTCCGTACTGGTTGGTTCACATAATGATTTCTTAAATTTACGCGAACACTACATATTGAATAAAACTAAATTTACGGATTCTATCGCGTTTAATTAATTACTTTTACTTATTTTTAATTCCGTAAAGCAAAGTAAAGCACCCAAAACGTCGAAAAATAAAAATGATTCCATTTTGTCTAAATTTATTAATATTCGTAAACACTTCTTTTGTAATATAAATAATTTGTTTATATCACAAGAGTTTCCCCACAAGATGATGCCATAGGAGAGTACGGAATGAACATGTGCAAAGTAAGCCGCATGGGCAGTCTTATAATCTGTCACACGTTTAAGGTGTTGCAGAGCATAAATAAATGAGGATATTTTTTTGCAACTTTTTGTATGTGCTGTTTCCAACTCAAATGTGTGTCCTGTAGGTCTATTCCTAACAAAGTGCCAGAGTTAACAGTTTCTAGTTTTGTGTTTTTATATTTAAAAGATAAAATAAAAATGTAAACCAGTTTTTTAGTAGGGTTTAAATTGAATAATTTTAGTTTTATTAAGGTTAAGTTGTAAATTATGTAATTGTAGCCAGCCAGTAATTATATTTAATGTATAGTTCAATTTTGTAGTTAAATACAACCCTATTGTGTCCGTCTAATTTCAGGCCTATCTCCATCCTTTTATTTCTGTTTAAAATTCTTGGAGCAAATGTTCATAAGCAAATTTCTAATTTGTTTTTAAAACCCATCTCTTAAATGAGTACTTATCTGGTTTCCGTCGGGGTCATATTACAATGAAAGATTTTCTTAAAATTGAAGATGACCTTATATTGATATATTGGTTGGCTTTTCCAATGCTTTCAGTTCTGTTAATCATGGCATCTTGGAGCATTGTGAGTTCTCCCCATCGACTTTAGATTGATCTTCTTCATATCTTCGTTAATGACAGCAGGCAGTACATGTCGGTAAGAGTCAGTGCTTTGATGTGGATGTTTGCATGTTTGCGTTCTACAAGAACTTCTTCTTTTTTCTCTTCTCGAATTTTATTGTTCTTATCACAAGTCATATCAACTTCTCTTATCAGCTTTACGCAAACGATTGGCAACTTAATGCACAGGCATTACTGGATGAGTTAACCAACACCTTCTTTTCTTTAACCAGTCTTGGTTAAGATAAGGTGTGGTATTGATTTTAATCCTTTAAAATACCAGACAATAATAATAGTTAGTACCGGTTTGTTGAGTAACGAGTAAATTTGGCCATCATTTGTGTGTTACGTGTTAAGTATCCTGACGTAACCATAGACACGTCATAGGTTCCACATATTACTATTAATGTGTGACAAAAGGTTACAGATACCTTAGATGTTTATACCTGTTTAAAAATTTTCTGCCTTCATGTTGCAAATTATTGCTGGTATTGTTGGTATTTTTCCCATCTTCTAATATGCAGATGTCTGATGTCAATCAAATTCTTTTTGACAAATTAGAACTACTTCTATATAATTTCATTTGGTTTAATTAATATATTCAGGTATTACTTTTCGCAAATCGATTATGTAAAATATAATAAAGACCAGCGACTCACACCGGCTCCACTTGGGTAGGATTATCAAGTTCGCCATAAAAGTATGAAAATAAAACACTCAAAATATTTTAAATTTAATTAGTTATAAGAGCGATCAATTGCGTGACAATGTCAGTCTTACAAATACAAAAACTACAAAGTGCCAACAATAAATCAGAAAACGCGCGTTGATATTTTTTCGTCACAGGCGCGTAGTGTATTCAAGCGCCAACATCCTCGCCGCTGTCAAAGGCTTTGACATCTTCTTCCATGACACGACGCACAGAGCCCTTTGTAGTTTATATGTCTGCAACACGAGAGATTTGATCGGACTCAGGGTATAGATTTGTAACACGCCCCATTTTCCAACAAAGTGGGAGAGAGTAGTCCTCGTGAAGTAGCACCAAATCACCAACGTTCAATTAGCATCGGTTGGTCCGCTACTTTGTTTTGGATTCCAGTTCACCTTCTGTATGAGTGAATCTAACGAATAATATCGATACATTCTGAGGTTTTATTACCGCCGCGATTAAAAAAATGTGACGTTTATGGACCTAATGTAGTATCTGCAAGAGTAGCACAAAGTTGGTTCAAGAGTTTTTGACCCGGCAATTTTGATGTCAAAGATGTAGCTCGCTTTGGTCGCCCTCATACGGATAAAGTCGATGATATTTTTAAAAAAGTGGAGCGAGATCGGCTTATTAGTAGTTACGATATAGCCTAGGAATTGAGGATCAACCACTAAATAGTTTTAATTCATTTGAAAAAGTCTGGCTATACAAAAAAGATCGATATTCGGGTCCACTGAAAGAAACGTAATCAAACGTGTACTCATTTGCAATTCTCTATTGAAACGTAATAGTCTTACTGAGGATTTCGACTTAACGAGGTTCGAGTTATAGAGATTCCACTGAATATCATAACACGCATATAATTTTTTAAGAACAGCGTGTCTTTTTCGAGTTATAGAGATTCTACTGAATATCATAACACGCATAAAATTTTTAAGTAAGTAAGTAAGTGTCTTTCAGCAACTTAATATTACCAAGTTTTTAAGTTTATATGTGAACTATATAATAATACAATTCTTTTAATATAATTATTTTTAAATGTTATTTATAAGAATATAATTCTTTAAGAATTATATTCTTATAAATAACATTAATTCCATGTTAAGGGGGGGGAGGGGGGTGGATTGGGCTAATAAAAATATTTCTATACGCTTGGATACTGATTCTGATAACACTCTTAACGGGAACCACAGGGTTTTTGTTACATATTGTATATTATGTGCGAGTTGCAAGTTCCCTACAATATAATTATTTAATTTCATGTAACAAAAATTAAACAACTATATTTATAAACTTGGGAGCGTAATGGCGTCTTCAAATGAAAACTCTGCTTGCACATGGTGCATCATGCTTATCAACGAACGAGGCAGTGAGCACCGGCAAACACTGGTTTAAAAATTAGAAAATTCTTAATCTGAATACTGTATTACTGCAATAATATAACGTCCGAGCAGCATTACTAACGGGGAAAAAGGCTTATGCTGTTACTTCACGGTGGTATTCTATGTGATAGTCATACTTCTTCTTGGTATTCTGTATGCAGCCGTTGCTGCGTTGCTTTACCACGTATAAAAACAACTTATATAAATCGGAAAGTAATCAGAGCCATCAACACTTTTTTTGTAAAACAATGGTGATAATCAAGCACATAGCCTGATAGTTAGTGGATACTTTGATATACACAGATTTATTTCTATCTTCGATTAAGAATCAAAATGCAGATGCGTTGTCACCCCTGAGGACTAAGACGAAATGCCTCGTTTCCAGTAAGCATGGTCTCCGGTTGCCTACACTCACCATACAAAACACAGCAGTATTAAGCTGCTATTTTACGCTCTTATTCTGTGAGAGCGTGGTCCTTCCCCGGTCGAGCCGACTCATTCGATCTACAGCCACAATATAGCTGCGTAACACCATAACATGCGTGACAATTAAAGCAAAAAAACACCTAGGTACTATTATTTATTCTGTGCATCTAGCTACTAGTATACGGTGTAGTGGCGGCGCAAAAGAATCCAATATGTGTAGAGAACCGGCGACCATTATTACTGAAAATAAGGCATTTTATCTTGGATCTCTGAGACAGATGTACAGGCCACAGCATCCACTTATAATTAGGTGGACTTTGTGCTCACTTATCACCCTGGTTCTATATAAAAATGAAGTGATGATCCTGGCTACTGACTTGAGTCAAGAGCACAACGCATTTTTACAGTAACACTGTTACAGTTATGATAACTAAGATTGTTTTAAGTGGCAGAAAGGATTCAAAACTTGTAGAACTTGTATAAAAATAAAGGGGCCTATTATTCCTATAGACGTATTAAGTAAAACAATTAAATTTAATCAGTTTTTATTCATATAAATATTATTTAAATTAAATTTTATAATTAGTGATGGTAGATTGGAGGAGAGTATGCGAAGGGAGAAGTGTGGACGACGGGAGCGGTGTGAAACACAGGCGAGGCGTGGACAACGGGAGCAGCGGCGTAGGATATTGGAGCAGCAACCTTTGTAACTGAAGCTACGTTCGCGCCAAGGGGCTCTCTATGTACGACTGCGTTGAAGCCATTGTGTGAGTCAGCTGTGTAGTCGACGGTGCGTTGAATGCCGTCGGGTTCCACAACCGAGTAGGAGCCTTGTACAATATCACCATCACGTGTCTCTTGTTGAGACTTAGAATCTCCAGTTACTACGTCGTGCACTTTGTACGAAAAGCTGTATTGTGGGTGATCGTTGTAATCTTCTACGACTACTTTTGCATCGGGAGCTCCATGATAGCCTGTGGTAGCGTATGTGATGGGAGTGGCGGGAACAACGCCAGCGGTAGCGGCTGCCACCAGACACGCCATCACAATAATCTAAAATAATAGAAAAAAAATATTAAATAAGGTCTTATACTAGAAAACTATATTCAATTTAGTCAAGTATAATAGTATAATCATGAACCACAGAGATTTGTTTTTATGAATATATATATATATATATATATATATATATATATATATATATATATATATATATATATAATGTTAGCATATAAATAAGAACACTAAGACGTTTCTGATTAATTTTCCTTAATATATGTAATATATTTTACAACACATTAATATATACCAAAAGTAAGCCTTGCGAACTGGCGCATCCTTAAAAAGGCTTATGTCAGACAATGAACTTTTAAATGATATTATTTAATGATGTCGACACAAAAGTAAGGTAATATAAAAAAATCACTTACCGTAACAGCCATTTTTCTGTTAGCAACGTGCGTCTTAAAGAAATTTATCGGGAAAAGTGTGCTGAATTTAATGGATTTTGAGAATTTATACCTTAAAGTCGTTGCCTGAAGCAACATGTCCAGAGTATATTATATAGATAGTACCTTAGGATAGTGCCAAGCTGGTCGTGATAGCGGACACCTTAAATATTTGATAAATTTAACAAAAAGAAATAGATTTACTATACCTTTATTCATTATTATTCATAATAATAATAATTTAATATGAATAAAGGTATAGTAAGGTACTCGTATATTAGTTCTTAAAAGTCCTTTGATGATGAACATGATTATTATATTAATATTAATATTTTTTGTATATCTTATCAATATTTATATAATATATAAGTATATATTGTACGAGTATAATGTATGAATGCGAAAGTGTGTTTGTTTGGAAGCTGTATTTCAAAAACACTAGATCGAGTATAAGGATCCTCATAAAATATTGTGTAGAAGTCGCAAATTAATAGATAATGTTTAGAGGCCTTTAAAAAAATAATTGATTTAGTTTTCAACGTGTACATTCTAATAATAACAAGGATCTAAAACTGTGGAATATTAGAAATATACACTATCTAAGTGTTTCCAAGCATTTAAATTGTGTCGGTTGTGAGTGCATCGACTGTAGGTGAAAATGTATTGCTCTACTAAATAACACACAATTTTCATTTTATATTTTGATTTTTGGGATGTAAAATATTTCTCACATTTATGTTACCAAAGAACCACTCATGTTATGACTACTTTGTTCATTATTGTGAATTTCGTCGACGCTGCCGCTTATTACTATTCCCGAAGCCTAGAGCGCGATGCAACCGGCCGCGACCGATGACGATTTCCGATCGACCCATGTATCACGTCGATGTCGATCGACCCCAGTCAGTGGCGCAAGGACTACCAGGTGTTAATGCCAAATTTTTAAGGACAATTAATTTGTGCGCTTTGCACAGTGCGACTTATGTTACGAATGTACTTTGTGGTGCAAAAGTTAGTTCCATGGGTATTTTGTTAATTCTTATACGAAATGATGAGTTATTAATAGAAATTATGGTTATTTATATTGATGAAGGCCGCACGTGTACGTGTAAATTTGGAGGCACATTCATGCTAACCTACCCGTTCCCGATATATGTAGCGATGTGCGAAGCCTTGAGATGGACCTGGATTTGCATCCATTCATGTATCAGATATGTACATAGAGACAAACTTAACAGAGTCAAACATTTTTATTACTTTGTATTTAAAAATCATATGCAGAAAACATTAATTTATCGAGGTAAAACACATTATGAATGGGTCGCTACAACCGGGATCAATTTCTCAGAATACTTTGGTGAGATAACAATATAATGCATATTATTAGATATTATTGTTGAAACATTCATATTTATATAATGGTTATATATATAGCATATTCAGTATGACATTGATATAAGATATATAAAGAAAACAAATGAATTTAGGTATATAAATATGTAAGACCGTTTGATCGATCACCATATAATTTGGCATACATGGCATACAAATATTTTTCATGGAAAACATTTTAATTCTATGTACTTTATTTTAACATACCACTAGATGGCGCAGCAGCACATCAACTTTTATAAAGTTAAACCGATTGCCATGAAAATCGTTATACTTACTTAGGCAAGTCGAGGTCTGCTGGGTTTTGATTGCTTGAGACAACATGTTATAATCCAAGAAAACTTTATTTAATAATATACCATTTTTATACAAACATTGACTTTAAATGAGATTTCCAGATTAATAGGCAGAGAAAAAAAATACATTATGAAAGTTTAATTTTTAAATTAAAAAATTAAATAAAGTAAAAAGAGTTAGTAATAAGTAAAAGCACCTATGAAATTCATAACGCATCGGTATCGGTCGGGCATACTCAATATTATGTTGAGGAATATTGTCCCCGGTCCTACTGAAATGGATAAAATGTTTTTCTTCTGTAACCAGATTTTCAGAAAAATTCTCCAGAGCTCTTTAGAAGAACTTTTGAATATGCTTACATGTGAGCTAAATATTGCCAAAATATTTGTATAATGTAAAGCTTTTCTGAATTTGAAATCTTTTGTTCTTATATTGTATTTGTTTTCTTGGTATGCAACTACGAATGTCATATTGCAATTTATTTTTGCTCAAAGTCCCGGCCAGTTCAAAATAGATTCTTGATACTTTGTCTCATAATGTGCTGTCATTGTTTTCAACATTTATTATTTTATTTTATTTTTTATAAGTTTTATTCTTCTGTTACTTAATTATTATTGTTATTTTTGTAATAAGTTAATTAATCTGATTTATGTTTTAATCATCTACATTATTAAAAGTTTTCCAGCCATCCGCTCCGGCTTCGCAGGGATGATTTCTAGATTTCGACAGCAGCACCACCGACCTACCGGGTACGATTGCGAATCAAAAACATCCACAAACAACAACACTCAAACACACACAAAAAATTCATCCAAAACTGTAAAGCAGTTTAGAAGTAGTAGACACATGAGTATTTTATCATTTCACCATGCGGTGGCGTTACTAAAGCGATATAATGGCTTATGAATTTACATTTTAGAAAAAATATTTTCAGTTGTAAAATTACATGAAATCATCATCATCATCATCATCATTACAGCCCTTCACAAGTCCACTGCTGAACATAGGCCTCCCCCAAGTAATGCCACAAAGCACGGTCCTGAGCCACCTGCATCCATCGACTTCCTGCATGTCTTACCAGGTCGTCACTCCATCTAGTGGGGGGTCGCCCTACACTACGCCTACCGGTACGAGGCTGCCACTCGAGAACCTTTCTTCCCCATCGGTTATCGGTTCTTCGAGCTATATGGCCGGCCCATTGCCACTTCAGCTTACTAATCCGTTGGGCTATGTCGGTCACTCTGGTTTTACTGCGGATATCCTCATTTCTGAGTCTATCACGCAGAGAAACTCCGAGCATAGCCCTCTCCATAGCTCGCTGAGCGACCTTAAGCGTCCTCATACGGCCAGCAGTGAAGGACCACGTCTCAGATCCGTAAGTCATCACTGGCAACACGCACTGGTTGTACAATCTAGTTTTTAGAGATTGAGGTATACCTGACGAAAAGATATGCCGTAATTTCCCGAACGCTGCCCAGCCGAGTTGAATCCGTCGATTGACCTCTCGGTCGAAGTTGGACTTACCTAGTCGGACTATTTGTCCCAGGTAAACGTATTCGTCAACAACTTCGAGCATAGTGCTCCCAACAACTACCGGCATAGGTGTGACATGGACATTGAACATGATCTTTGTTTTGTCCATGTTCATCTTAAGACCTATCCGTTGGGAGGCACTATTGAGGTCATTGAGCATAGTGCTTAAGTCCTCCAGCGATTCTGCCATAAGGACTATATCGTCGGCAAATCGAAGGTGAGTGATGTACTCGCCATTGATGTCAATACCGTATCCTTTCCAGTCCAGTAGCTTGAAAACGTCTTCCAATGCAGCGGTGAAGAGTTTCGGGGATATAACGTCACCCTGTCTTACACCTCTCTGCAGTTGGATAGGTTTCGAGCTCTGGTTCTGTACTCGGATAGCCATCGTAGCCCTACTGTACAAACACTTCAGCACTTCGATATACCGACAGTCAACTTGGCACCGCTGAAGGGACTGTAGCACCGCCCAAATTTCGACGGAATCAAAGGCTTTCTCATAGTCCACATACACCAGGCAAAGTGGCAGATTGTACTCTTCAGTCTTCTGTACAATCTGCCGCAGGGTATGTATGTGGTCTATGGTACTGAAGCCTTTTCGGAAACCGGCTTGTTCGGGAGGCTGGAAGTCGTCAAGTCTGCGTGCGAGACGATTCGTAATGACTCTCGAAAACAGCACGTAGACGCGGCTCAGAAGGGAAATCGGTCTGTAGTTCTTTAAGAGAGCGTTGTCGCCTTTCTTAAAGAACAAGACCACCGCACTTCTGCTCCACGCCTCTGGAGTAGTGCCACCAAAACTACATGAAAAACCCAAATTTACATGAAACAAAATTACATGAAAAATCAATTGTTATTTTTTTTAATTTTTCTTAATAATTTTTAGTAAGCATTAAAAAAATGAAAAACTACTATTTTATTATTTTTATTTAGTATCAGTAAAAAGGATCTCCGGTTCCCTTACTTACCATGCGGTACACAACAGCGTTAAAATGCGATTTGACGATGGTATTCTGTCCATCAAAAGTCTGAATATTAGTCTACTTGTCTACTAGTCTACCTCACAACTATGACTGACTACTAATCTATCATAGGTATAGGGTAGCAATAGACCTCCTCCTTATGAGCCGTAGTTGCCACACTTGACAGTGCGAATGGCAGCCGCATTTTTTTTTAAATTTGTTATTAGAAAGACGCTGCTTCCCATCATCATTGTTGCCACGGTTGACAGGCAGGTTTGAAACCACAGATTTTTTTTCAGTTGTATACTCTCACTCTTGTCGCCTCTTACGACACCCACGGTACGATATGGGATAGTAGATATTCTGACACTTCAACTACACGAATTACAACATAATAGAATTTTCGAAAGTCGGTGCTAAAACCTAAGGTATCGAAGGAATAAAGCCCCGCTTCCAAGACTATAATGTAGAAATTATTCTTTTCTTCTTAATTTTTGAAGTCGTTTCTTACTTATTTGAAAGTTTAAATCTTTTGTGTGGTCTATGGTCTATGGTCTATCTATATATTATTACAAGTTCAAGGTAAGGACTAAAACGATTTCTAATATAGTTATTTACATAGACATAATTATATTACAATCTTCATCTCCCATTTTGCCTCCATAAGGGATGGAATTTCATTTATACGGGACTATCCCTGCAGGCTATCCTATTTATTTTAAAAAAATATTTCAATAGTTTTAGCCATTTTTGAGAAATATTACATCAAAAAATTACAATATAATACAACACAATACGCCTCGAATATAAAAC